AATATTTAATTAAGATAATTTTATAAATATTGAAAATATTGAAAAACATATTGTCTTGCTAGACTAAAAGAAATAAAAAATTAGACATCAATAATATAGAGAAAGGTTCTTTGGGTCCATTTTATATACATTATATAATATATATAATAATATAATATTTAATTAAGATAATTTTATAATAATTAAAAATATTGAAAAACATATTGTCTTGCTAGACTAAAAGAAATAAAAAATTAGACATCAATAATATAGAGAAAGGTTCTTTGGGTTTTTCCCGTCCATTTTATATTATTAGACCATCATATACTATATATAAATATATCACTAAGTATATATAGTAGTAAAAGAAATTCTTATAATTCCGACATGGTGTGAAAAAAGTCATTGTCGTTATAATTGTAGAAAGTACAATTATTACTTCGATTTCTGTTACGCGCTGGTAATTATTATAAACCCACAAATGACTTTAAAATATCGATATCGCGTAATTATCGCGTTATTATCACGCGATTTGGAGAAGCCGGCGTGATCGTGGACGATCGCCAAGCCTCTCTCGTTCCCGCCGCCGGTTATTATTATTATCATCATTATTGTTATCGTTATTACTATACCAATGGGTTTTCGGGGAACGTAGACTAGCTGTGCAAGTTCTCTCTCTTTCACCGGCGCGATAATATAATTACCTACACCTACAAGAAAATTATATCGTACCCCCTTTCGCACGAGTCTATCCAACACGAATACGATAACCTGCGAGCGCGCATTCGCCGGTGGTAGTGCGAGATAATAAAGTTGATAAGAGTGTAGAGGGCCGCTCTGCAACCCCTACCCACCGAAAGAGAGCAAACGGGGGGGTAGCGTCGGGGTAAAGGGTGGATAAAGGCGAGCCGGGCGATACGCGAGAAACGGGGTGCGAGCGAGAGAGCGCGTAGAGGGTGCCGGAGGGTGCATCGACGAGGGGGTAAATGGGCGTGGCCGGCGTTTGCCGTTGAGGCAGGCGATTGGACGGTCCACGGGGCGGCATCGTCAAATAAAATCCAATCGTTGAGACCAAAGGAATGCGAATCTCCAAGCTTTTTTCCTACCCTCGGTACGGCGAGGCGGTGAGCCACCTCTCTCCCTCCCCCCCTCCCCCACCCCTTCTCGTCCCCTTTGTCCTCCGTTCTCCGCCGTGGTGGTTTTCGTGTGTTTGCGCGCCTTTCGTCCCTCTCCCTCCTCTTCCCTCGATCTTTCTCCTTTCCTTCGCCTCTCAAGGGGGTTGCGCGCAGCGCCGTTTGATGGGAGTATGATTTTATTACGGCATTACCGAGCGAGCCAAACCCCGAATTGCTCGGCTTATAGTCCGTATTATCTCACCTAAGAGGGAAAGAAGGGGTGGCAGGGAGAGCGAGAGGGGCGGGATCGGTGGGTGACGGAGAGGGGAAAGACACGTCGCGCGGAGCACCCACCCCACGCGCGTACGTACCCTTCTTCGGGGTAAGGCCACTGCCTGCACGTACGTACGGGGTGGCGTTTCGAGAACGCCGGCGTCGTGGGTAAGGGGGGAGGCCGCAGAGGGGGAGGCGGAGTGAGCCACCTATATGCCTTTGTGGGCCTTCATTCGAGGGTTGCATGCTCTCACGTTGCCGCTGCCGCCACTAACCCCCCTTTCCGTGTGCGTTCGGAAGGCACGCACGCAGGCATGCCAGTTGACATTCTGCTGCCGAAATCGCACGTCCTCGTCGTCGGACGGGGCGAGGTGAAGTTGCGAACATTGGAACACGCGACCATGTGATACGCGCGCGATCTCGCGCACGGAGAGATCTCCCGCGACGTGGATTTCGCGGGAAAAGGGGGAGCCGGCTTCATTGCTAAAGCGTTGAGTTGCACGTCGCTGAGAAATCTTATAGTCCACGTCTATTAATACTCGAATTTTGCATCGTCAACATAGGCAATTTGCGGTGATGTTAAAGTAATTTAACACGTTTCGCGTTTGTCCAACAGAAGCTGCTAATAATCCTTCGACTGATGATGAGTCCGAGAAAATTGAGAAAGAAATGCTGAAAAGTGTAACCAGTGATTTGAAATAGTTTGTGAAAGATCGAGTTATTCAGCCAGTAGCTGCATCACAATCTTTGACAATTTTCATACACTCGCAGGGATGTGATTTTCAAAATAATCGAATTCTACGGTGGCTCTTAAAGGACGTGTTATTAATCAATATTAACAATCAACGTTATCGCTTAGTAATCGAAATAATGATGAATCTAACATAATGCCTGAAACGCATGAAGAGTAGATCGATTAACAACAACATAACAAATAAAACGTTCTTCGAGAATCGATACGATCACGAGAAACATTAGGATCAAGCGCGAAGCTAGTACGAAGGATACTTTGCGGTACTTTCGTCGATTAAGAATCATCCCGTGAAACGACGATTGCGACAATCGGAGGGCCAAGCAGCCGTGATATGTTCCCCTCGTCAGCGGCGATGCTGAAGAATCTGCAGCAAAGTGCCATGACCTCGCCCTTCTTAATGGAGAACCTGCTCCAGAGCAAGGCGTCGCCGGGGACAGATCTTACCAGTCTAACCTTGAACTGGGCGGCGAGTCTGGTGGCGCGACAGCGCGAGAGAGAATGCGAGGCGAATCTCAGACTCGTCCGCGACAGATCTTCTCCCAGCGATCTCGTCCAGGATCACCTGGATCAACGATCCGGCTCGGTCGGCGGTCGCGATCGCATGATGATCGATTGCGGTGGCCGGGATCAGCAGAGATCCAGCGGCGGTAGATCCGCCGGCGAGCGGCAGCATGACAGAATGCAGCTTCTTCAGCGTGAGAAGGAGGTTCTAGATCGGACTCAGAGCGTCTACGTGGACATGGAGAACGAGAGGATGGATGGCCCAGTCGTGGACCGGCTGTGCGCGATGGAGAGGCTTTGCAACGAGAGGATCGACAATCGATCCAACTCGGGTGTGGAATCGTGCAACTCGAACGTCGACGAGGACCCGATCCCGGTCGCCGAGCTGGACGGCGGTCTTCAAGCGGCCGACAGGGATGAGATGATACTGGGCGAGCGGGTCTCCGCGATCGAGATAGACAGACGATACGACCTTGGATGCAGAAATGTCATGCACATGTCCGACGAGATGACGATCGTATCGGGAGAGAGGGAGACAACGGTGACGGCAGTGGCGGCGGTCGAGCGTGCCGTCGACAGAATAGGCGAGAGGACCACGAACGCCGTCGCCTGTTCCTGCGGCGAGGAGCAGTGCTCCGGACCGGCATGCAGGACCATCCAGGAGAAGGAGAAGCCGCAGCTCAAGTTCAGCGTTAGCGCCATACTCGGTGGCAATCACGATAGGAGACCGCATTCCGGTAATTTATTGATAAATTGATTTACTTGACGTAATCGAGTCGACAATTGGTATTGAGACATTAGACAGGAATTGATCGGGGCGAAATTAGGCATTTTAAAGCAATGCATATAACACAGAAATCTATAGTTTAAATATAATAATTTAATTATTATAGTTTAAATATAAAAATTTAATTATAATAGTTTAAAAAAGGAGAATAAAAAGACAGGAAAGATTTTTAAAAACAAGGCACAATTATTTTTGTAAGGATAAGCCTTACGAAAATTTATTGATAAATGAACACGAGTTTATCCTGATATTAGTTGGCGCTGGTCGAGCGTGCCGTCGACAGAATAGGCGAGAGGACCACGAACGCCGTCGCCTGTTCCTGCGGCGAGGAGCAGTGCTCCGGACCGGCATGCAGGACCATCCAGGAGAAGGAGAAGCCGCAGCTCAAGTTCAGCGTTAGCGCCATACTCGGTGGCAATCACGATAGGAGACCGCATTCCGGTAATTTATTGATAAATTGATTTACTTGACGTAATCGAGTCGACAATTGGTATTGAGACATTAGACAGGAATTGATCGGGGCGAAATTAGGCATTTTAAAGCAATGCATATAACACAGAAATCTATAGTTTAAATATAATAATTTAATTATTATAGTTTAAATATAAAAATTTAATTATAATAGTTTAAAAAAGGAGAATAAAAAGACAGGAAAGATTTTTAAAAACAAGGCACAATTATTTTTGTAAGGATAAGCCTTACGAAAATTTATTGATAAATGAACACGAGTTTATCCTGATATTAGTTGGCGCTTTAGTCGAATTTTTGTACGCTTAATGTGTCAATTGGCATTTGATTCTTATAAATCATGATTGTGTGAATATAATAAAAATAGAAAACATAAAATATTTTATATATAAAAGATACATTAAGAGATTTAGAAAAAAAAGAAAAATTGATTGCAAGGCAAAAAATTCTAATAATTTACACACACGCATAAATATCGATAACTATTTTGATATTATTTGACACATTAATCGAATGATATTTGACAAGTTTTCAATTGTCAAATATCTCATGATTAATGTGATAATCGGCATTTGATTCTTACACTTAAAAAACATAAAAAGCTATTAATAATAAAAAATAAACGCGAAAATAATTTTTGAAAGAATTAACATCTCACTCTCGATATATCTATTATGTTCTCAATATATCTGTTACTTTTGAAACAGCAAAGACTATAGGAATCATGGAATGTACTAGTATACGTAATGTCAACGATCGTCGATTACGATCGCGCATTCGTCCACTCTCGTCGTCGAAAAGACCACATTTAGGAAGAGTTTCGCGCGGCGATCGGGCGACAATTCGGAGAGAGTGTTGAAACAAAGCTCACCACAAATCAGTGTCGCGAACAGACTTCTGTCGTTGGTCCCTAAATCTCATCCGCACACCCTCAAGACGAGTCGCGCAGCGTGCGTGCGGAGGAGGATGGGCGGGGATCGGGGGAAAAGCGGATGGAGCGCACAGGGCGTCAGCTGGCCCGCCACTTACCTTCACCCCAATATTAAGCCCTTACGATTGGTGCCTATAATATTAGACAAGCGGCAGGATTCAATGATGTATTGCCGCGGCGCTTGTCGCGCGTTTCCCTCCGTGACTCCACTCGATTGATTTGTCGCGAATTCGTTGCGAATTATAATTCGAGATGTCATCGAAAAAATACGGTCCTTAATGGCACGATTATGTACACATTTTAGTAGCGATTAAATAAAAAAATATTCAAAAATTTATATTATTAAAAATAAAAAGTGTTAATAATAATGTAATGCAAAACACATTGTTAATCAAAGAGCAGCTTGATGAAACATAACTATAAATTCCGCAGAGCATTAAAATCGGGATAATTATGACAGTAAAATAGATATTTCGACAACAACTTTATGATGACTAGTAATTTTATCTCCGAAAAAAAATATTGCACAAAATGCGTTCTTCGCGAACAAAATATCTAATAAAGATTCGATGAAAGAACCGATTATTTCCTTGTTGCCTCGACTATGAGGAAAAATGTCGCGGCTTACGGTCCTTCCACGCAGAAGTTACAATGCCCGTCCCGTCATTCACAGGACGCCTGAAATTCGTGAGGGTTCCGACGGACCCTCGGCACACGCATACACGCGTGCCGACCAATCTTCGGCCGGCGTGTCCTCATTGTCA